AGCTTGCACAAAGCACAGCAAGAATCAAATAAAAGTGAAACATATAGTACAAAGTCACTGACTTTTGTATCCTGCTCTTTTGAGACTATACTCATGAACTTTGGAAACCTCAAACGATGAATGATGTTATTGAACAATGCCATGTACTGAGTCACTACCACTGTAGTATCCCTGCCACCACCTAGCAACATCAAATACATAATAGCAACCAACGTAAGTAACATAGAAGTTGGTGATAGGCAACATCAAATTACAAACATAAAAATACAGCCACAAGACAGAAACAAATACAGAGAACTAAGTGAGTACTTAATGCTCGGATTCCAAAAATTTTGCAAAAAATCCCCAAATAGTGGATCAAATGATTAAAGTTCTCCACTATATTATAAAATAAGAAAAATTATTAAACAAGTAATTATTAGATGGCTAGCATAATAGCAGAGTACTAAGAGAAAAGAGGATAACATCATAAGCATAATAGATAACACATACAGAGTAACCAACAATCAACTCAAGTCATCTTCCCCCAAGGCCCAATCTGGGGAGGATAAGATGTCAACAGCCTAACCCTGAAAAGCAAGAATATTTTCTTGACCGAGGAGGGAGAGGGGGTTAGTGTGCTAGACATGACTGATAACCATTACTCCTAACAACAGAAACAAAATATCGTGGCTGCTGTTGTGCACTTCATCATGCTCACACAGTCCACACGAATTCTAAAGCACATGTTTGCACTAATTGGGATCATCGTGATTCAGCTTATTCAAGTTCTCTCTCTGGAAGTCACTTATTTGACAAACAAATATCCTTCTAGAGTTCTACAAATTTCCCTAATCCCTCTCTCAAAAGACTAAAACATCCTCTAATCCAAATTCAATCAACTTTCCTCGCTCCTGACCCAGTCAAGAGATCACCTGCTCAGCTCAGTGACTTTGTTGACAATAACGGTGATTATAGTTCACCTAGCACACATCTTAATCCTGCAATCGTACCTTGACCTGATGCTACGTATTAACGAACGAGTCCTCTCAATTCTGAAAGCTGGCAACAAAACCCAGTTACTGAAAAATCACATCTAGTTTCCAACAAAACTATCGTCCATTCGCCCCAAATAGCACGAAACAAAAAATGATACAATGCACCAAATCCTTTTACAATTCATATCAACAATACAATCATAATAACACCTAATCAATCATCCCAACAAAAAACCTCAACGATTAAAAACCCCTTCCACAGCACTAATCCGAAGCACACTTCAAAATCCAAAAACTAAAACATCACCACAACAACAATGTAATATCCCATTCACAATGCTCATACAGTCATACTCAATTTTCAATTCAAGCATTTAAATTACACAAAATCATTATATAAAATTTAATAATCATAGGTTAAATAATAAATTAGCATCAAATTATAGAAAAAAAAAAAAATCAAACCTTCTTGTTCAAGAGCAAAAGCTTGAACGCAATTATGCTGAATTAAAACCCATAAACATTTCTTAACTTTATCTTGAGGAAGTTCAGTAAATCGAGAAATTAGCGCTTTACTTAGGGTTCCTCTTCGGAGTAAACATTCGCAAATTTTCTGCTCAAATTAAAATTCACCAAAAACATAATTAAAATTAATGTTTAATTACACAGGTAATTAATTATATAACAAAAATGTTGATGAAAGAGGAGAGAGAAAGAGAGTGTACAGATACGAGGTTTCCGAAGTCGGTGGTGATGATGTGGACGGCGAGTTTGATGCCGAACGGAGTTAGCGCCGCCATTGATGACGGTGGTTGTTTCGGTGGTTTTAGTGGGAGTTGTTTTTGGAGTTTTTAAGGTTTAAGAAACGAGGGAGAATTAGAAGGTTGAGTTTACGGTAAGAGATTTAGTTTAATTTATAATGTAAATTAAGTTTTTAAACAACGTCGGGTCTATAGCTCAGTGGTAGAGCTTTTGACTGCAGTTCAAGAGGTCACCGGTTCGAACCCGGTTGGGCCCTTTTATGTCTATTTTTACATTCTTGAAAAATTAAGCTAAATGTCTATTTTTACATTTTTAAAAAATTAAGCTAAATGCAATGTACGATCCGATGTTCGAGATTTTGATAAGTAATAACATTGATTAATGCCCTGGCCTTCGGAGCATGTATATTCTATTAAAGTATATATGTATATATCAACCTAACTAAACATTCTCTTTAGATGATTTGACCTCCATTATCTTAGCTTAAACCTTATAATTCTATTTATACATTTCAAAACGTTAGCCACATTCCGAAAGGGTAACCATTATGTATGCTTTCATGCATAACAAGGGGTATATGAGTAATTACACGTATATATGGGCAAATGCATATACTAATTTTAGAATAGTATCATTATGTGATTAAATAATACCACTTAATGTACAATGGTATTATATACAAGCTTCTAGTTGTACAATTAGAGTGCAATCTCCATCACATGATGACAATTCCATGGGCTTATACAATATTTTAATCAATTTTTGAATTATTTTCCGCAAGTGTAGGAAGATATGCGAGTCTAATAACAAAAAGAAAAAAAAAAAAAAAAAATTGAAGAAGATTGATAGACATTTGCAAAGGTTTTGTGCTATGGGACTGTTAATCCAAGTTCTTTCTGTCGAGAAAGTGCACTTTTTGAACAGTCTTATTTGTTGTCGTCAATCCAATTATGTCTTATGTGTTCTTTGTTTGAATTCAAATCTTTAGAGAAAAATTGCTTGGAGCGAGATAAAGATTAAAAGAGTGGGATAAAGATTAGTCTTTCTATAGTTTTACAAAGACATTAGCTTCAAGGAATGAATATATATGTGTATTGGCTAACTTCATTTTTGAAACTTCATTTTTGAGGAATGGGGGCTACTAAGGGGATTTGTTAAACATCGCCCACAAATTACTACATAAAGCCCACAAAATTAATATGATTTCACAGTTTTGCCCCTTTGTCAATTTTCTCTGAAAACGAAAATTTCACTCACCGAAAAATGTGGAGTCGCACGGGGATGCCGGGGGAGGCCGGAGATCCGGGGGACGACGAATGTCATCGGAAAAGACGGCTGGCGTCCGGAGGAGCCGCCACCACCGTGGCACCGGCGCCTGGCCGGAACGCCGCCACCATGTCGGTGGCGCCTAGCCAGGACGCCTGTACCATGGTTGAGGCTTCCAGGCCAGGCGCCATGACCATGGTACTGGCGTCCCGGCTAGGCGCCACCACCATGGTGGCGGCGTCCCGGCCAGGCACCGGTTCCAGGGTGGTGGTCCGGCCAATTTTTTTTTTTTTTTTATTTTTATTTTTTTTTTACATTTGACTTGCTTAAAATTCAAAATAAAAAATTTTCTCAGTTACCAACAAAAAAAAACAAAATATTAAAAAAAAAAAAAATTCTCAATTTCCAACAAAAAAAAACACAATATTACTCAAAAAAAAGAAAACAAAAAATTATCAATTTCCAACAAAAAAAACATGATATTACACAAAAATAGAAAAAAAATTAAAAAAAAAATAACAAAACAGGCTGGTGGTGGGGCGCCTGGCCAGGACAGCCAATGGCTGGTGGTGGCGCCAGGTCCGGCAGCCACGTCCACTGGCCTGGCGTCTGGGCAGGACGCCCAGCCACAGTGACTGGCGCCTGTCCCAAACGCCACTTACCGTGGCTGGGCGTCCTGCCCAGGCGCCAAGCTGGTGGACGTGGCTGCCGGACTTGGCGCCACCACCACCTTGCCGCCACGAGCCAACCCTCCCTCCTCCGCAGCCGCCGCCAACTCTTTGCCTTGCCGCCTTGACATCCCCGTACTTTGATTTTTTTTTTAGGTTGTGTTTTTTTTTTTAAGGTCAAGGGCAATATTGTAACTTTAATATAAGTTTGCGGGCTTTATGTGGAGATTTGCGGGCGATATTTAGCAATTCACCTACTAAGATGGGTTATCAACTAGTCCAATGTAAATGATCATACACGTCTAGTAGAGTTTGGCCAAAATAGAGCCATTATGAAGGCCGAGTATGAAATAGATAATAAAGTAATGAGTTTGACTAGTGTGGAAAATTAGGTGAACTTTTTTATGTACATTGTTTCCGCAATGTTGTTTCTCAAAAATTATTATGTCATTTACGATTACACTCTAGATAGAATATTTTGAGTGAAATATAATACTTTCAATTTTATAAATTTAAACCTAATTTAGAAGTAGGATTTAACATTTTCTCATAATATAGTTTTTTACATGAGTCTAATTTGTAATGATTCACGTAATTTGTTATTTTGTAAATGATTTATGGAGTATGAGATAGGATACTCAATTTTATGTAAATTTTTACATATTGGTAATAAGATATAATAGCGATTGAAATAATGCATTGGTAAATATGAAATAAGTAGTACAAGTAATTGGAAAAAAAAATACTAATAACTATTTTTTAACCATATATTCCGAGTTTTCAGTATATTCACCCTATACCCGATTTTTCAAGTACGTATACCTCTAAATTTTCATAAAAATGCAACAGATATTCATAATAACTTACGAACTTTAGCTCTGTTAGTCATTGGGCTTAATTATTCCTCGAAACCACCCATATCCCTTCACCCACCCCCGAAGTCTCACTTGCCAAGAATCACTTACCATGAATTCATTAAAGCTTACCATAAATAACGTACTGTCCTACTTATCATATATCATAAATAGGGTGTATGCCAAAGGCACTATATGAACTTATCACCACTCTTAATTAGAATTGGCAAACAAGCCCATGCCAAACGCATTATATGAACTTATCACCACTCTTAACTAGAATTGGCAAACAAGCCCAAGCCCAAGCTTATTGACATAGACCCAGTTGACCATTGAGCTTAGTACGGTTAGAGAAAGGAAGGATAGTAAAGTTAGCAAAGATGCAGAGCATACGATCTAACCATCGTAGCATTTGGATTAATTAGTGGTGGTTAATTGGGCGCTGATCTCTACTGAGGAAAGATAAGTGTCTGCGTTATTGATGATGTCAATATGTTTTATTCAAGGGTAGCTTTGAAAATCATAGATGGTACAGTATAAAAATAAAACTGTTACTCCATGTATATAATAATACATTAATACATGCCACATGGGCAATGGTACAGTTTAAGTCATCCAACAAACTAACACCAGGAATATAATGGTCCTGCTGCTTCGATCTTGCATGAAATGTATATGAAAGCATTTAACGAAGTATCCGTAAAATCTTCTTGCACTTGGGCTAGAAATTTAGTAATAAGGAGGCAAAGCTGGAGTTGGAGCTGGAGCATCAACAGGTTCATCACTCAACTCAATGTAAGAAGTAGGAGACCCAATTGGTGCATCAGCAGCAGCACCCAACTCAACAGAAATAATTGGAGCACCCAACAAATTTGTAGCTGATATTGGCCCTGGTGTTGCTATGCCTGAGCTCTTCATTTCAGACATCCCTCTCCTCGGGTTTTCGCTTTGTGTCTCACATAATTTGGGAAGATATACACCTACAACATTTTTAGTAGGACAATGTTACGTTGTTAGTATGTATAGTATTATAGTGGAGGTTTTGTCGCAGGTAAAAAAATATCCATTGCAGCTATTGTCACAACCAATATCTTCGTTTTAATAAAATAATAAATATACTTGGGTTGTTTTAACTGGTTATTTTTTCAGATTGAATATCCGTAATAAAATAATTAAACTTGGCTAAAAGCATGAAAATAAATCAGAATATGCTAGGTCAAGTGTAATACTCTTGCTTAAATAATGCTTTAAATAACATTGACTTTTTCATCATGAGAAAGTTAAGGAAACATAGGCGTGTAACATACTTCCCTTTTTTTAAACCCATTTTATAATTTATTAGATGTTTTAACGGTTTTAAGCCATTTAACACGTAGTAGAAGACAAAATTTGGAAAAAAAATTAGTAGAAGTCAAATAAAATGTCAACTCTAATAATGCTTGAAATTTTCAAACATAATTACACTAATAATATTACAATGAACAATATTTTATTTTATATCTTATAGCCAAGCTAAGGAACAATATTGTATGCAAATAAATATCAAAATGTGATATTTCAATGGCAACATATATATATATTTTTTTTATGTCCTATACGTACGTTAATATTCACTCCCTCCATTTATGTTGACCCCACGATGTAAACATTTTTTATGTCATATACGTACGATTAATATGCAACTTGTCAATAGTAATTTAATTGACAAATTATATTGTTGTATGTATAGTATATTATCAATTGACAAAGAAATTAAGAAGTAATAGTCACATAGACATTATTTTAAAGATAGAGAACGTAAAAATTACCTTCACCGGCAGCAAGATTGAAGTAAAGATCGATGACATTAGGGCACCTTTGGTAACATTGTGGGGAGCAAAGCTTTTGGGTAAAGCGGGACTCGAGAAGAGAGTCCGAAGAAATCCCTAAGGTATCGCGGTCTAAGCCACAAGCTTGAATACAATGGCTAGTCTCAACCAAGTCCTTGAGCTTGTCAGCCTCGATGGCAGATGTAGTACACTTAAATGCCTCCAATCCACTCCTTCGCACATACTTCTCTAGCACGCAACGCTTGCCTATAGATGATACCGCGAATGCACATTCCTCCTTGTTAAGCTGCTCACATGTTATACCCCCTAATCAACCACATAAAAAAAACCAAACAAGTAAGATTTTGACAATATAATTAGCAAATAACACTTAATTAGTTAATTATATGCATTAACGAAATTCGATAGATTATTACCTAGGGTGCCTTGAACCAAAAGGGAGGAAAAAAGAGCAAAAGTTACAAGGGAGTTAAAAAGAGAGGCCATGTTTTGTTATAGAATAATAAGCAATAAAAATCAAAATATAATTTATTATTGCTCTTCTATAAGATTGTTATAATTTGAAGAATGAATGTTGTAGTTTGTAAATGGTGTGAGATTTACAAAGTATTTATAGATGATTTCATGGAATATACTTTGAAATTATTGGTCTAACAGTGGACCCCGTTAATATTTCATAGAATAAGAGTGTGGACTTGCCTAATTAATTTTGAAGTTTTTCATGGAAAATCTCGGTCGATGACTTCGCCGTCATTAGTGGCCGATTAATTTGGTTTACTCTTTTTTGACACAAAAAGCAGATTGATTATTCATAGGTTTATAGCTGATTGAATTGCTTTAGGTGGACACGTAGCCATAAACTCATAATAAAACTCATAATGGGTCATTATTATCGTATAAATAACGTTTATATGAGCTTATTGAAAGTTTTGAAACGTAACTGAACTAATGTAATTAAAACTTATTTAAGTTAAATCTCCATAATTTTTTTTAATAAGTTAAGAAAATAAAAGAGGAAACATTAGGAAACTCTCTGTACAAGGAGAATTTCTAATGCGTATCTACGTATTTAGGCTTTGTTCACTCCACCTTAAAATAATAATATTTCGTAAAAATGATAATATTCAGTAAAATTAATTTCAGTTCAGTAAAAATAATTTCAGTTCTGTAAAAATAAATTCAATTCAATAAAAATAATTTCACTTCAGTAAAAATAAATTCAATTCAATAGAAATAATTTCAGTTCAGTAAAAATAAATTCAGTTTAGTAAAATAATTTCAATTCAGTAAAAATAAGTTCAGTTCAGCAAAAATAATTTCAGTTCATTAAAAATAATTTCAGTTCAGTAAAAATCAGTAACTTTAAAAAATCAGTTCAATCCCTTTTTTTTTTTTTTACTTGCACCTTTGTAACACTTTATATTTTGTCTTAAAACTAATGTTAAGCTTAATTATCACGATCAAAATTTTGTCAACTTGTCCACTTCAATTTTAATTTTAAAACATTCAAAGGAATTTATTTTGCAAAATAGGTATTTTAAAATATTTCTATATTCAATGTTGTGTTTAGGTGATTAATTATTCAACTTTTATACAACTCTCTCCCAGCCATCTCTATTCAATAGTCAAAAAAATTGTGCACTGTCTGAAATTACAAGGTTGAAACCAACCCCAATAGTGATTACCAATTTATCGTACCACAAAAAAATGTTATAACAATTTACCAATGTAACTAAATTTTATACTACGTATTTTCTTTAGGTAGAGAGAACTACGCAAAGAACAACTAACAACCAAACTTTAATCAATTTTTTTTTTTAATGCAGCTTAAAAAGTAATTGCATGCATTATTAATTAATTGGTTAAAAAAAATTCTAATAGGGTGATGATTATTGGGCCGTCCTTTGCTTTGACAAATCGCTATCACATAATCAAATTGCCCTAATATACAGTTTTTTTTTTTTTAATTATTTAAAGGCAATAGTTGAATCAACAAGTTGTCGAGTTACGATTTTCATAGTGTGGTAAATATTTTCAATTTTTGGTCAAGTACTCAAGTGTAGCCAAACTTTAGAATTTGACTTCCTTTCCGTTATTAACGGAGGAGATTAATTTCCAAACAAACGGGAATTTATCATGGATTTGATAGTTTCATCACTTTTTCATGGAAAAACAAATTTGAAGACTAATAACAATGGTTTCTTTAATTTTTAAATTTTACTTCCTTTAATCCTCAAAAATTTTCTAATACCCCCATTTCTATTTTATAAAGGTGATTTTTGATTGGCGTAAGAAAAGTATGGGAAATGACAAATGAAAAAAAATATTACAATAGACTATGTAATAGAGTGAACAAATTTTTTTACATACCAAAATAAATATAGAACACACTCAAAACAACACCCTAATATATAAATGGAGCATTTTCAAAGAACCTAGTGTTCTCGTCAAAAAAAAAACAAGAACCTATATTATACTCCGTATTGTTTACGTACGTACTCCGAATTTTATTTTCTGGAATAACTTCTAATTTTTTTTTTTTCGTGAAGTCCGCAAATATTTAGTCCCAAATTCAGAAAATAAATAAAATTATGATGTCAATTAAAGGTGGTTAACTAACTAATCGAGATATTTAAGCCAATTGCGCTGAAAAGTACACACCACATAACAACAAACTTAAGTATGATGGCTTTCCAGAATTAAAGGAAAGTACAAAAGTTGGCAAATTTCCTTTCAGCAGTAATAGTATTAACTTTAAATAATTAAAGTTATATCAAGAAGGTGAGTTACAAATTAAACTATTAAATCTAAATGCCTTAGAGCAACAAACTCTGAACAATCTCTATCTCTATCTCTACCCATTAAAAAGTGAGAACTTTGTCAACAAAGCTTAGCAATAGTGATCTGAATCTTAAATCAATGAATTATACGATTCATAAGGATTGCTTCAGGTACTGTTCATAAGCTTTTACATGCAATGCGAATTTCTCTACTTTCATTTAGCTTCCATTTGCTAAGTCAGCAAGCTAATAAGGTGGGAATTTCTCCATGTTCATATTGGAGGCAAAAAGGAAGTACCTAAATTTGAAAAACGCTATCTGCTACTTTTAAACGTTACTATTTATAACGTTTGTAAAAATCTACTTAAACTTTACCTCTATCGTTAATCGCTACTTAAACCGCTACCTTGTCAAACACTTTTATTGTTTTTCTAGTAGTGTTAACCGGTACCTCAAATACTACCATCAAATACAAATAAAAAGCGGTATAGTATTATTAGAGACACGGTGCAATTGCTAAGCACCTAAAAATGTTTCCCGCAAAATAAATGGACATGATTAAAAACTAGCCCAACCACGTCCCCTTGTCTTCCTCTGCAAAATTAAAAGAGAGTGTTCATCCTTCCACAATTCTTATTTGTACACCCTAAGTCGAAAAAAAAAAAAAAAAAAAAACTTAAGAAATTCGATTGATGGTAGAAATTTTTCTCTGCCCTCTTTTAAAATTCAGGTCAATTTCATACTTCTTGTTTGCTTTGATTTATCCTATGATTATGTTTTGATCAATGAAATACTGCTAAAGCTTTAAATTTGTTACATTTCGGTATTTTATTTTTTCAATGAAATCCAATTGATCATGACATAAAGATCAAAGTCTATAAAACAAAATGTCATTGCATTCAACACACACATTACTAGCTTAGAAGTGTATATACAGAATACCTTCATCAATTGCTATAACTAAATTTCCAGCTATTTCTGCACTTTATGGCATTCATCAGCTCAGGTTCCAAAGACAACACTTCTATATAAGCTTCCCTTGGTTCCATTGAGTACACCTCCTCACAATACGTCCGAATAGACACAGGAATACCCAAGAAGTCAGCGAGCCATCCTGGAAAGCAGAGAATACTTGCACCAGTTATTTTTCTACCACCTCAAGACAGCCTCCTCCAGATACAAATCCAAATCCGACTTTCGGGGCTTATTCATTGAATCTATATACTGCTGGTAGTATTCTTTCATTACACTCAGGCTTTCCAGATTGTTACCACAATCTCTCTTGGCAAGTATAATATTAGATCCTTTATCGTCAACCACTGAATCATTCAATGAATATCCCTTATGATCACCCAAGCACATAGGTGTCATATAACTTGTATATGGTCTCTAAAACAATGGTTGCCTTGGAGTCATCAGACAGATAAGTCTCTACAAATTGCATTTTGCAACGCGGATCCAAGAATGCAGCAATTGAAAGAGTTCCAGTATTTATCAAAGATTTCAAGCATTTTCTGTGCCACAAAGCTCGCAAATGCATCAGAACTCAGTGACTCTTGTACAAGATAAACGCGAATTTCATGAAGATGAGGTAGGAAGAGATTAGTAGTTAGCCTCTTAGCACTAAATAATCCCTTAGTGATTATGAATTCTGTCAGCAATATTGCACATTCTCCTAACATTTTCCCATTCCTGATCATTTAACGGAACAAGCCCTAAAGATCTGATATACCAGCATAAAGGATTTAATGTTTTGGACCAACTTATGGCTTCAACTTTGTTATTGATTCCATCCATCTCCTTAAATCCTTTCTCAACCATTCAACTTAACATATCACTGCAACACTGCACACGAAACAAAGGGAACCCCATCGATCCTCTCCAAAAGTTTTTCTTTCGTACATTCATCAGTCATCAATCATCTCCAACAGTCAAAACCAAACTCTGTTAGTCTCTTCAATATGACACTATCAATTTGAGAAACATCACAATACTTGATAATCCATTTACGCAATATCCAATTGTTGTCGATGAAATGGGCCCTCAAAAGAAGATACTCATCCATTGACTCCGATTCCTTCTCGAAATCCATGGACAGACTAATATTTCCTCTAAGTTTCGAGAACATGTCCTTCACCATAACTTGCTCATTCTTATATAATTCCAAGTATTTACAATGCTCATCATCAGGTTTGTCTAGCCTTTTCATGTTTACTGTGGAAAGAATTAACAATAATTAAAGAAATACCACAATGGATCATACACAACTCATTAAGTATAGAACACGAGATATGAACAATAAACTAAAGATAATACTCCGTAACAAAATAAACTAAAGATAATACTCCGTAACAAAATAAACTAAAGATAGGCCTACGTCTATGAACAAAAGGAATTATTACTACCTCTGCTAATTATTACTCCACAGTCCCCTTTTATTTGCACCATGGAGGCATGGACCTACTTTTTATGAGACCTTTTTGGTTCAAATGGTGCAAATAATAAGAGACGGAGAGAATATGTGTAACAAAGGGATATTATTTGTGAAATATAAAAGTTTCCTTTATTACACAATAATATTATAAATACTCCGTAATAAACTAAAGAAAGCCTATATTACTAAGTTACTATGATGAGCAATAAACCCGTCCTAGAGATTAACAAAAACATCCAATCTCGTGATCAAATTCGATGGGATAACATCTATCGAGACATAAACGAGAGATACCATACTCACATGAACTCATCAACACATTCAACACAACTTACACAAGCCATGATTCTAACATATACTATTGCCAAAGACTATTCGAT